TCTCAAAAATAAATAAACATTAAAAAAAATTTTTTAAAAAGAAATGGTTAAGATGATTGATTTTATGTCTATTTTACTACAATTAAAATAACAACAAAATTTTTAAATTTCAAAGCGGTGGGCGATTCAGAAGAAAAAAATATTAAAAGGCTCCTCGGGGAGATAATTATTTAAGAAAACAAAGTTGAGAATGCTGCTCTAAGGCCTGCTGGGGACTCCAGAGATGTTGCTTCATGGGGGGAAGGGCGACCAGACCACCCCAGTGAGTCACACAGAATAGGAATTCTGCCCCGAAGCTGGGCATTGCCTCTTGAAGGCATCACACTGTTATTCTGAAAGAGGATAGCTTGGGACACCTGGGCAGGGGTCAGTCAGTTAAACATCCGACTCTTGATTTGGGCTCAGGTCATAGTCTCACAGTTCATGAGTTCAATCCCTGCATCAGGCTCTGTGCTCATAGCACAGAGAGACTCTCTCTCTGCTTAAGAGACTCTCCCCATCCCTCTCTCTGCCTCTGCCCGTTCTCTAAACAAATAAACTTAAAAAAAAAAAAAGAGAGAGAATAACTTTTATACCAAATGATTTTATGTCTGATCTCTATTACAAAACTCTGATATCATAAACAATAAGCTGGCAACAGGTCAAAAGCTTTGGGGAAAAAAAATGAAGCAACAACCTCTGCCTAGACTACAAGCGGTTTTTCTTCTTCGATTATATACATCTGCTCCTACAAGTGCCCAACTCACCTGCTAATGAACGGTCTGATATTGTCGCCGGCGATGGGCGCCATAGACATGGGCATGGGCTCAGGGGTGGACAGCCAGTAGGAGTAGTCATTTCGGGAGGCGAAGTTGCACACGTTGTTGATGTTACAGAACAGGAAGGGCATCGTGCTGAACTTGCGCAGGCAGCTCCCAGCCGTGCCTACAGCCACAGGGAGACACAGGTTCAAGTGACGGCTCTGTGATCAGTCTGCCTCCGCACAAGACAACCATTAAGGTGGAAATAAAACTGCTTTCAATTACAGGCAGAAAGGAGGCAAATACACCACACAGGCAAGTATGGTTGTAAATGAGCATTAACTTATATTTAAAGTGATTCAAGGCAGAAGAAACCCTATAAAGAATTATGTAGGATATTTTGAGTAAGGGAAACACACCAGTTTATCAGTAGAGAAAAATCTTTTATAAAACTGAACCCCAAAGTTGCTACGGATTCTGTCTCCCTCTCTCTCTGCCCTGACCCCACTCATGCTCTCTCTTTCTCAAAACTAAATAAACGTTAAAAAAAAATTTTTTTTAAACGGGTGCCTGGGTAGCTCAGTTGGTTAAACGTCCGACTTTGGCTCAGGTCATGATCTCACTGCTCATGAGTTCAAGCCCCATGTTGGGCTCTGTGCTGACAGCTTGGAGCCTGGAGCCTGCTTCGGATTCTGTGTCTCCCTCTCTCTCTGCTCCTGCCCTGCTCACACACTCTCTCTCAAAAATAAATAACCACTAAAAACTAAAAAAAAAAAAAAACTGAATTCCAAAGGAAATTTAACATGTGGCTCCTGGTACAGCGGACAGTAACCCTGGACAATGTCTTCAATGACTATTTTGCCAAAAATGTAGATTCTCCTTACAGGCGGCTTGTTCTTTCCAACCTCCATAAAGGTTAACGTGAGTGACACTGCACTAACTTGGTGAAGGACGTCTGGTGGGGACGAGAGAAATGATAGCCAACGGACAGCTGTCCCATGGAGACTCACCGGGGGTGGGGCTTGGAGCCCGCAGAGAGACTCAGGATAGGGGCGCACGCTCGGGTTTTAGCCAGAGCACCTGTAAAGCTGCCCTATTTTAAGAAGACCGACACTAGCTGTGAAGCATGTATTCCGGAAATCTTGACCTACTTGATAGTTTGAAGACCAGATCAAAAGTTTTATCAATTTAAAAGCTTTCAGAGACTCAGCCTTGACATTTCCCTGTGCTAATGAGGCAGCTGTTGAGCTGGTGGTTGGTCATGTGAGGGGGGAGGGAAGCGGAACCAGGCCCTCTTCTCACTAACGATGTCTCTGTGGCGCCCTGAAGTGCGGGGCCGGGGACAGCTCTGCCGGCCTCGGCACGCCACGAGTCTGTGTCGGATGAATGCACGCCTCCCCGCGGTCTCACCCAAGTCCTGGCCGTGCGCCCGCTCGTTGCCTTGCACGTAGAGCAGGGAGTACCCGTGGTAAAGAATTTTGGTCCCAGGAGGACACTGCGGGTCGTCCGTCGTCTGACTGTGCCGGGTCACCAGGAAGCCATGATCAACAGATGGGGTGCCTGGGGGACCCATGGATCCTGGCAACCCGTCGGGGCCTGGCGGGCCTGGAAACCCTCTTGGACCTGGAAGACAGAGAGGAGTGAGCTTCCCCGGGTGCAGACAGGTGCCCTGGGATAACCCGCCTCCACGCTGCCCCCCTTTCTTTCCCTTTGCACGGACCCCCCACGATGCTTGAGAAACACGGTGCTCGGTGCCAAGCAGACGCTCAGAAAATGGAGTCCAATATAAACACAATATGTGAAAAGGAATATATGAGGGAATGTGTCATTCAGACAACATTTGGGGGCTCCTCCAAGGAGGAAGGACCACAGAATTACTAGAAAAAAAAAACTCCTTTTAAAAGGTGGCTTCCTGCCACGGCAGCCCAGCACCGCGCAAGGACACAGGGTAGTGAGGGCGCGTCCTTCCCCATCCCCTCGGTAGCTACACTGTCTGCAACGCTGCTGGCCGGCCTCCTGCTGGCCTGGGCACCCCCCCCGCCCTTCCAGGGGAGGCCTCAGCCTTTACCATCTCAGTCAACATGGGACAGCAGAGTGTCTGCTTCCTTGGGCAGCACACCGACTGCATTTCATGCCGGATGGTGGCCTCTCGGCCACCACCGGCATCATCATCCACCCCTCTTGTCCACTGCTGATACACAATTCCTGTGGCTGCAGCCTGCCCCCCACCCACACCACAGGAAGCCCCAGGCCGTCACTGCTGGCATCTTCTAACAACATCTGGAAATCACTGGCTTAGATCAACATCTGTCTCTCCACACGGAAAAAATGATAACTTTACCTCTTCTAGATGAGCTTATTTGCCCTTAACACACACACACACACACACACACACACACACAGGCTTCCTCGGAAATCTTGCAGGCAATGTTTTCAATTCCATTTTGCAGGCTTCTGCACACCTGACTTCCAGCGTGTGACCCAGAGATGCGGGCAGAGGGCAGCTGGTGGGGTGTGGTGGGGGTGGGGAGGGCAGGGTGCCGCAGCAAACCTACCAGGGGGGCCAAAGGGTCCCGTCTCTCCTTTCTGGCCAGGAGCACCATCAAAACCGGGAACACCTGGAGGTCCAGGCAAGCCCACGGATCCTGTCACACCTGTGGGAAAGTGAAAGGAGCTGGTGACAAAGGCCTGGAGCACAGGCGGTGCCACTTTGACCTCCCTTCTGAAATGTCTCCGTAGACTAAGGCCGGCAGCAGCAGTGACACTGTTCTCCCAGACAGCCTGGAGCCCCTCCTGTGAAGCCTTGTTGGCACCGGCCGCATCCAAACTGGCGTTCGCAGGGCGCGGGCCCCACCGTCTAACCCAGACTGCGCGCCGCGCCCCCCCACCCCCACCTGGCTGCTCACTGCTACCTTGTGGCACCTGGCTTTGGGAAAGGCAGTGATGCGGCAGGGAGGGAGGGCTGTGACCCAGTTTTGTGTTCTCAATCATCTTCCCCAGGCCGTGTTTCCTCACCCCAAGTAATTTTTACATGACAGACCTGTGGACAGGTCTTTGATTCCATGTGGGCCCTTTCTTCCCAGGTAGTTTAAAGTGAAATTTTCACGGATGCCTCCTCCTAAGTATAGAGTCTTCCTTCCCCTCTACTGTCCAGCCACCCCTCACCAGCAGCTCTTAAGACAGGGAGGGCTCAGCCCAACTAAGCAGCAAGTGCCAGGTTGGGTGTCTGGGGACCCCAAGCACGAGCACAGGCCACTGTCAAGGCCCATTCTCATGGTTCCAGATCAATGCCTCCAGCCACCTCTTGTCTTCTAGCGGAACAAGATGGTCTCTGTGCTGCGGCCCATGTCTTCCCCAGGTGAGCACAGGTCCCTGGACGTTCCTCTGGCTTCTCCTATATTTTGTTCTGGTTTTTGAGTTCCCTTCAGACACTTCATTAGGTTTTGATATCCATTAAAGGAAATCAAGAAAGTCCTATTCAAATATACACCTGTACGGCCGTCACCCAGAGACCCTGGCTTGGGACACGTTGGTGAGGAGCAGACCCTGCCCTGTTTCCTTCTGACCCCACACCTCCCCTTTGCTATTTTCTTACCTTGCTGTCCTTTGGGGCCTGGTGGTCCCGGAAGCCCCTTCAGACCTGGGGGACCCTCTGGACCAGGGAGTCCTGGCTCTCCTTTGATGATGTCGTAGGGCCCTGGGGGGCCTGGGGGCCCAGGGAGGCCTGTGGGAATCAGGGGGGCCACCGGTCAATCCCACTGTCAACATTCGCGGGAGCAGATCCCAGCATGAAACGCAATCCAAACACGTTTCTCAGAAGTCGCTCGGTATCAAAAACACATGTAATAGGTCTTCACGAGACGTACACGTACCTACACCTTGCTACTGTTCAACATAAAGTCCTGAATCCGTGGGACTGACCGATGTTGGGGTCATTACTACAAACTGGGAACTGGGTCTCGGAGCCCCTGACAACCGTGGGCCAGCAGGTGGGGCTCCATGCCTCCCAGGGATCCCTCCCTGACCCGGAGAGCTACAGCATGTGCAATTAGGTCTCATCTTATGCTTCTCTGAAATCTGCCTTATGGACATTATAACCACAGTCTTCATCCCTTAGTGACGCAAAAACTTCATCCTTCTGCACTACAGCTCCTGAAAGATGAGCGGCAGCGAAGGAGTGCGGAGGCTCTCAGTCAGCCCTGGCCCCGCTTTCTTCGGCCAGACATCTCCAGTCCTGTCCTGCCTTCCACACACTGTCCCCATTTCTTTCACTCCCCCATTGTACTTTTTAAATTTTTTTTAACATTTATTCATCTTTGAGAGACAGAGAGAGACAGAGCGTGAGTGGGGGAGGGGCAGAGAGGGAGACACAGAATCCGAAGCAGGCTCCAGGCTCTGAGCTGTCAGTACAGAGCCCAACGCCGGGGCTCAAATTCACAGACTGTGAGATCATGACCTGAGCTGAAGTGGGATGCTTAACCGACTAAGCCACACAGGCACCCCTAACCTTTTTTCAATTTTTTTAATGTTTATTTATTTTTGAGAGAGAGAGAGAGACAGAATGTGAGCAGGGGAGGGTCAGAGAGAGAGGGAGACCCAGAATCCGAAGCAGGCTCCAGGCTCTGAGCTGTCAGCACAGAGCCCGACATGGGGCTCGAACCCATGAACCCTGAGATCATGACCTGAGCTGAAGTTAGACGCCCAACTGACTGAGCCACCCAGGTGCCCACCCATCATACTTCTTAATGCATTCTGCTGGCTCAGTCTGTCTCTCGAAACATGATTTCAAAAATCATGGAACCCTAGAAACGTGGTCAGACCAGCAGAAACTGGAACTGGATGCCTGTTGTACTTAGACCATTTCCTCCCATCTCGGGAGGCGGCCTTGGGGGCCGGGAGTCGCCGCATGTGGGGGACAGACAGCGCAGAAGCCACAGAAGACTCTTTCTTGTGCAAAACTCCTTGCTGCCCAGCCCCCTTTCACACAGGCCCCACCTTAACCTGAGGACGCCAAGCAGAGCCTGTAGGACTGCGAGTCTTGAGTCTGTCGACCCTCCCCGGCTGGATTCACCAGTCTGACTTTTAAGACGCGTCGCTAATAAAATGCCGACTAGGGTAGCCTCACACAGCAGTCCTGACAAGCTACCAAAGAATTCGTAATCAGCTGCTTGCCACTGATACTCAAGCCGCTTCTCATGGGCAAAACCAAACCCTGATCCACGCGTTCACACCGTCGGCAAGGCCCCACCAGCCCAGCACATGCTCCTACCTTTGCTTCCAGGGAAGCCCTGGTCACCCGGATCGCCCTTAGCTCCCTGCAGGCCGGGGAGGCCTTTCTGACCTGGAAGAAAGAAGAACATTGTCTCTGCACAGAACCCCCGAATCCCCAACGATACGCAAGCACGGGCGCATGCACGCACGTCCACGTTCACGCATACACACAGACGCAGGGAATGTATTTCCAATCAACTCTCAGAGAAGAAAAGAACATTCCTTCCGGTCAGCTATGTAAACTTTTTAATGACACTCTCTCCTCTAGAACCTGGAAGTCACATTTTTCCCAACGTGCAAACGTTCCCAAACCATAAAATGACCACAAAAAGCAGACAGGCACATGATCCTGCTGGGGTCACAGTTTGGGTCACCCATGTCCCCAGATAGAGCCCAAGACACCTGTAAGCTGGGAACTGGTTTTAGTCACCTGTCGTTCATATGTATCTGATTCGGCAGGAAAAGAGCAGTGCCTGGGAGCCGGGAGGCAGCCAGTACATGCTGGCTTAATACGTTATAAATCAGTGCCCCGAATCCATGATGTCTGACATACAAATGATCTACTGATTCTCTGTTCTTAATTTTTTTGAGTTTATTTATTTGAGAGAGAGAGACAGGGAGAGAGAGAATCTCAAGCAGGCTCTGCACTGTCAGTCCTGAGCCCAATGTGGGGTTCGATCCCACAAACTGTGAGATCACGACCTGAGCCGAGATCCAGAGTTGGACGCTTCACCGACTGAGCCCCCCAGGCGCCCCTGTAAACTGATTCTTAATAAGAAAATCAGAGCGTCTTTACACAGCCATTCATAGGATGATACAAATCAGGCTGCCACACAGACACGGCATTTTTAACTCGAAGAAAACCCGATCTTGCGTTGTGACCCAGCTGGCCTATCGGTGTGAAAGTGCCAGCGGACAGGTTCTGTCTTCAAGCAGCACCTCCTTTACTGTCTTACCTTGAAATCCTGGAACTCCCGGAGGTCCTATGTCACCCTTAGAGCCCGTGAGTCCTGGAGAGCCACCGATTCCCTAGACACACACACAGAGCATCAGCTGGGAGTCGCTAGGACACCGTAAGTCTCTCAAGTAGCCTGGAAGTCGGGAGGCTGGGGCAGCCCCTCAGTGTTCCCCAAGAGGCTCTGTGAACAAATGGGGCCTATGTGCAGCCGCAGTAGGAAGCTGGGAACTGGCACGTGTCGCTTCGCTCCCCTGTCCCCTGTCCCCATCTGTCTGAGTGGTGACTTCCCAGAGCAGGTGCAAGGCCCGCGACCTACCGCCCCTCCCCCACAGCACAGGGCCCAGAACAGATCTGGGACTTTCTGAACACTGTCGTGGCAACATGTCAATCTTTCAACACCAAACTACCTTCTGGAAACTTTCCTCCAGACACTCAAGCATAACGAAATTTCTTTAGAATTAGTTTAATATCTTATCTGAAAAGTGATTTTAAATGTGGAGAGAAAAAAACGAATACTAAGGAGGATTATTTTTAAGTTTACTTTTACTTGTTATGAGAGAGAGAGAGCATGCGAGCAGGGCAGGGGCAAAGACAGAGGGACAGAGAGAATCCCAAGGAGGCTTGCACTGTCAGTGGGGAGCCCGATGCAGGGCTCGAACTCCTGAACTGTGAGATCATGACCTGAGCAGAAACCAAGAGTCAGACCCTTAACCAACTGAGCCACCCAGGCACCTCTACCTTTCTCTCTAATAGCAACATTCATGTTTGGAAATGTATTCTCTCATTTTTCTGGCTATTTCAATACAGTTCCTTCTCTAGCTCCTTTCTCAACATATAGTAAGTTGTACTGTTTCTCACATGTATTTGTGTCTGTGCTTTACCTTGTTTAAAAAGGTGTCCTAACAAGGGGCGCCTGGATGGCTCAGTCGGTTGAGCGTCCGACTTTGGCCCAGGTCATGATCTCACCATCTGTTGAGTTCATGCCCCATGTCAGGCTCTGTGCTGACAGCTCAGAGCCTGGAGCCTGCTTCAGATTCTGTGTCTCCCTCTCTCTCTGCCCCTCCCCCTCCCTCTCAAAAATAAAGATTAAAAAAAAAAAGTGTCCTAACGAAAACACACACAAATATATGTATGTATACACACACGCACACACATACACACACGTCTATACATGTACATGGAAACAGCCAGCCAGCCACTGACAGCACCAGAACTAGGGAGTGTATTTGTCACTGAGGCTTGCTTTCTTCATTAAGCGTGTAAACAGATTTTTTTTTTAATTTTTTACTGTTTATTCAGTTTTGAGAGAGAAAGAGCGTGAGCAGGGTAGGGGCAGAGAGAAAGGGAGACACAGAATCTGAAGCAGGCTCCAGAGCCCGACGTGGGGCTCAAGCTCACGGACTGTGAGATCATGACCTGAGCTGAAGTCAGACATTCAACCAACTGAGCCATCCAGGGGTCCCTAAACAGGATTTTTAACCCAGGCACTGAGCGGTGATCCTGTGTGACATTCCCCTTTCACAGTCCTTGTAAAACTGCACAAGAAAGAACGTGGGAACAGCAGCCTACTACGATGTCAGGAAAGACAGCTGATGACCAGCAAGGGGCAGGAGCCCTCTCCAGTCCTGGAGAGGATTTAGGACTGTGACGCCCGTGGACAGGTGGACACACACACACACACACACACACACTGTGCTGTGATCCTGTTCACACACAAGACTGACAAACAGACAACTCACAGGCAGGCCCTGGAATCCTGGATCTCCCTTGGGTCCTGGAGCACCGGGAGCCCCCGGCCAGCCTGGGTTTCCTTTGTCACCTTTCAGTCCATCAAGCCCGGGGAGCCCCGGAGGCCCCATGGGTCCCGGAAGCCCTGACAGGAGACACAGAAATGACAATCTGGGGTGAGAGGGTGATTTTATGGACAAGTGTCTTGGGCTTGGCTGTCATCCCCGCTGCCCAGCTGTCCCCAACCAGGGGCAACAATAGTGGATCAGGCCGTGTGAGCACAGCAGAAACCCAGCAGGTCCTCAAAGGGACAACCTGCTCAACGGGCAGAAAATGTTGATATGAATGTGCTGGCCCAAGCGTCCAGTGCCGGGGTATTGTCTCACACAGTGCAGGGCACGCCAGAATGACCATGTTCCAAGCCACCACGGGTGGCTCTCATGTTCCAGTCTTTTCCAATAATGTCTAGTCTACCTGTAATCACTTGTCATATCTACCGTGTTCTTTCACAGAAAGGACACAGGCCTCCAGCGGAGGCCAAAACACAAGGGTCCCCAAATAGCGTAAGCAGTTTCAAGTTATAGGAAATGCTACGAACCTCTAAGTAAAAAACTTCAATTGAAGGTTTAAGTATTTAAATCTCGTTTACACTCGTGTGTGTGTTTGTGCCTTCTGGTTCAGTCCCAGCTCTGGCCCCGGTGTGACACCCTTACCTGGCAGGCCAGGCTGACCCTGTGCGCCCCGGTCTCCTTTAGGCCCCTCCACAGCGTGGCCCGGAGCTCCGGGTAAGCCCGGCTGTCCTTGTGGCCCCGGGGGACCCATGAATCCTTGCTCTCCTTTGGATCCGGGAATTCCTGGACTCCCGGCTTGTCCCGGGAAGCCCACGTCGCCCTTTGAACCTAGACAACAAAACCAGTTTGAGATGGTGGGGAAGCACAGGGGAGAAGAGAAAGCCTGTACGTCGAGGAGGAGGGAGCTGTGCGAGGGGTGGGGGAAAACCAGAGCCGGGTGCCCTTTCCCCTCTTTATTGAGTGACACACGGGACGCCGACCGTGGCTGACCCGGGGAAGAGTAAGCTTAGAGTGTGAGAGCCACCTGTCATTCTTCATATTTTGTAAGGAAGTGTTCTGCCGAAAAGCCATTGGAATACAGGCTGAGAGGGGTCTGTGAGCACCTGCACTGCTAAATTAAGGGCTTGCTCCATCGACAGGTGAATGAATACACAGGTGATACTCTATCCACACCGTGGAACACTACTCAGCAAGAAACGGGAGGGAACTACTGGTATGAGCTCCAACACCCATGAATCGCAAACTAATTGTGCTGGGCCAATAAAGTCAGACTTAGAATAAAACAGGATCCTACTGATAGAAAATTCTAGAAAATGCAACCTAATCTACAGTACCAGAAGACAGAGCAAAGGGTGGGGTTGAGAAATGATTAGGCAGTCCAAGAAACTCTGGGGTAATAGGCATGTTCACTATCTTGAGTGTGGTGATGTTTTCACAGATTATACATATATCAAACCTTATCAAACACAGACATCAAATAGCACTCTATAAATGCGTGTAGCTTATGGTATGTCAATGACAGAAATACGACGATACGCTATTTTTTGAAGTTTTCAAGGTAAGAACTTATAGGGAACAAAATTCCTCCATGTTTAGTTCCCAACATACCACCCAGACATGACTAATAAAATATCAAACTTCCAGGATCGTTTCAAGGTTATTAAGAAACAATAAGAAAGGAGGGAAATAGACTCGTGGCCAAAAATGGTCATCGGGCCTCTCTTGTGACGCTTCCTCTGCTTTTTCAAAAGTACAATGTCACCAGATGCTGGTCTGTCAGGGGCCAGGAGAAGGCATGTGCCCCAGACCCAGCATCCTGTCACTGCCGCCCACTGCTCCCTCGCAACTGCCCGACCCACTCAGCCTGGGCCACGTGCGTCAGTGGCGAGTGGAAAAGAAGTACGCATGTAGCGAATGTTACCTTTCTCTCCTTTGGCCCCTGGGAACCCTGGGAATGCTCTTCCAGGCAGGCCTGTAAGACAAGGGTAAGAAGTCACATCCACATGTCCTCAAACAGTTGGTCCTCGAGTACAGCACAAAACCCTGTCGACTCTTTAACACCACCACGTAGAAATCAGCTCCTTGCACTCCTGAGTAAAATCTCGTTTCTGCAGTTGTTCTAAGAAGTCCTGGATGGGATGTGTATAATTTACCACTTTTCTTAAATACTTTCAGCACACGACCATTACGGCATTTAGTAGAAATGCTCTATACAAATAAGTGCTGATTTTCTACCACCATCTAGACACTAACAAATCGGCTGTTCCCAGACGACTGTCCAGCTAACAACGTTCTCGAGGGAGGCAGGGAGAGCTGGTGCTATTGGGGACTGGGGGGCAGCAAACACCGGAAAGCCCAGAAACGTGAGTAAGGGGCTTGCAGGAGGATGAACGTGGGGGGAAGGGAGGTATGGAGGCATTTTTATGAATTACTTTTTATGAGAAAATGAATGTTTGCAATAGAAACATAAGGGGTGCAGAACGAAACAACGAACTTTTAGAAAGAGGCCAACCCTGGGGCGCCTGGGTGGGTCAGTCAGTTAAGCGTCCAACTCTTGACTTCGGCTCAGGTCACGATCTCAGGGTTGGGAGTTCGAGCCCCGAGTCGGGCTCTGTGCTGACAGTGCAGAGCCTGCTTGGGATTCTCTCTCTCCCTCTCTCTCTTTCCCTCCCCTGCTCTCTCTTTCTCTCAAAATTAATTAATTAAAAAAAAAAAAAAGCAGGGGGCCAGCCCTGCCTGCAGCAGATGCCCCAGGGCTCCTCTCCAGCGACACCCCCACACCCACGCCCCTGCCTTAGGCTCACCCGTCTCAGACCGCAGGTGTCATTCTTGCTACACACAAGCATTACCGTGTACGTGGTTCTCGTCGTCAGAACCTGCAGCCCCCCACAAGGGATGGGAACAGATCGGAGGGCAAGAATTGCTCCCAGGACCCTTTCTCTAAACGGGGAAAATCCAGGCAGAGGAGGGACAGCCTGGACGTTCTGTGTGTGTCTCACTCACCCCCGGGAGTCCAGGTGTTTTGGGTCAGGCCCGTCAGTACAGGACCTGCCCCTCTTCTTATCCAGGCCTCTCCCCTCGTCCACACGAGTGTATAAACAGCGATAAGGACACGTGGTACAGATACCACTTTGTGCCCAGCCCTGGTCACTCAGCGTGGACTGGAGATCTGAGTGATGCCGACCCTGGAGCGACGCCAACCCCTGAGCAATGCTGACCCCGGAGGAGCATTTATCTCGCTCTAAAGGGAGCAGGAGCCACCATACCTGGTTCCCCCTTCTCTCCCGCCGACCCCGGGATTCCGTCACTGCCAGGCTCCCCTTTCTGGCCGGCTGGGCCCGCGGGGCCAGGTTTCCCAGGAAGACCTCGGAGAGAAGAGCCACATTAGTCAGGTCTGGACCCTGTCACGACAAGACACTCATTCCCGACAGTTCCCCAGGGAGCCGTTACCCCGTGCATACCCAGCATCCTCGAGGAATGCACCTCAAACACAAACATGCTTCTAGAACCTACTGGAGCCACAATGCAGCCAGTTCAGCAGCTCTGGTTCTGGCTCCTGACTGGGGGCCACATCTTATAAAGGCCCCATGAGCCCCCCTAGACTCTAGACTCAGTCTGTCCATCTGCAAAGTGGAGGGGTGTGCCAACCCGTGACACTCTGGGGTCCACGACTTGTCACCTTGAGGGAAACGCCCAGCTTCGGTGGCCCCCACCTCATCCCCACAGGCCCCTGTGTGTCCTCTGTCTCCTGTGTCCTCAGGTCTCTACCTGCTTCTCCCTTGACACCGGGAATGCCAGCCGATCCCGGGAGGCCTCTGTCCCCTTTATCCCCAGGCAAGCCAGGGCTTCCTAGAGGAAGAAACAAGATGGCAGAATGCCATCAATTCGAGACTTTGTTGTCTTTGGACCCAAGCTCAGAAGGAGGCCCGGCTCACCTACCTGGATAGCCAACGCTCCCAGGGGATCCTTGGGGGCCAGGGGAGCCAGGGATCCCCGGGATCCCCACGCTTCCTTTCTCTCCCTTCTCTCCAGGACTTCCCGGAAATCCTGCAATCCCTTGATCTCCCTGTGGGCAGACATCGAACCCATTAATTTCGTACCTGTCCCCGGGCACGTGTCTGTGGGCCCTTTCTGGATAACACTATACGGATTCCACGTCCTGCTTTCTAGCGAAGAATTAAAGTCCACGTCTGAAAACCGGGGATAAGTGGGAAGCCCGGAACAAGAACCAATTCTGTTTCTTCTCTGCACATGTCTCCTCACCCTTCCCTTCAAGCCCTGGGCTGGCTGGCCCGCCTGTCAACAGTCTCCAGATTCTTGCCAAGGCAGGGGAGGTGCACAGAGGGGGCCAGAGGGACAATGTGCAGTAAATCAGGGGAGACCACTCTGAATCACCGAGTGTGCAGAGATGCTCAGGTGGCCACAGGGGGCAGTGTCCACGCAGGACATGGTTACCTTGTCGCCAGGCCGGCCCGGAATCCCAATGCCAGGGAGGCCTGCCTGCCCTTTCTCGCCCTTTGCGCCTTTCTCCCCGGGTAAGCCAGGGACGCCCTGCGGGCCGGGGATCCCAGGCACGCCTTTTTCTCCGGGTGTTCCTGTAAACACACACAATTAACACCTGAGTGCGTGCTTGGCGGGTGCTAATATTAAACATGGAAAAGCGCCCTGACAGCCACCAAGAACGAGGTGGAACGTGTGTGCCTGCATTTATCGATCCCTTAGTCACACAGGCAGACGCCACCACCCGCACATTAGTGCCATGTTAGGAAGTGACTCTCCTGTCTCTTAAAGACCATCATTCTACAAAGACAGAGCAGACATACGGTAACTCCTTGGCATATTTACGCTGGCAGTAGTATGAAAAATGACTTTCGTGTTCCTTATTCTACAATCAATTCCCGTTATTCAGAAGGATCAGACGGGTCATGCGGTGGGCCAAGGAAAGCAGATGCATACCTGGTTTCGTGAGGTGTGCTGGCAGCCAAACCTGTTTACAAGCAGGTGTAGACAGCAAGCTAGATGTTTCTACATGTCAAATGGAGCGATACCGTGCCTCGTGCATAGGGAGGGGGCCAGCTTCCTGCCTCGGCTCCCCTTTCCCTGTGGGTTCGGAGCGGTGCTAGCCCAGACCCACCCGAGGCCGGATCTCTCCACCTCTCTCCAGCCCCGTCGCGGCAGTCGAAGCCAGGTCAGGATTGGGGCAGCAGAGCCCAGAGGACTCTTCTGGGCTGGTGCCAAAGGGCACTGGAGGCTGGCTTAGACAAGTGGGGAGCCAGACCGCACCAGGGAGATGGTGGCCAGGTGGCCAGTCACTTGGAGGTGATCGAAAGGTGATGGTAGACAGCCCATGTTTTATTTGATTGAACTGTGATTTATTATTATTATTATTTTTTTTAGTAATGGTCACAGTGTCAGCCAAGTGCCATTGATCCCGAGGCAGGGGACCATACAGGACTGAAGATGTGCACTTGGGTAAAAGTGCACATGCCTGGACTATGCCCTTGGGGCGACGCATGCCATCCTGCAGACCTGTCCCCGCCAGCGCGGGGACGGGACGTTCTGTTCTATAGAAAGAAGACCCCTTGTGTGAATCCAATGTACCTGGCAGGCCCATTCCACCAACTGATCCTTTGGGTCCAGGGAGCCCTGGAGCCCCCGGGGTCCCGCCGATGCCGGGGTCACCTTTAGGTCCTAGGAGAACAGAGGGAAAAGCCCAACAGGTTAATGCCTATGAAAAGTGCTGGGTGACATTCCCTTAGCGTGAGCTCCTGGCACATACTGGGCTTGAACTTCACTCCGTACCTGGCTGCCCAGGATGCCCTGCCTGGCCGTCCTTTCCTGGCATTCCCGGGGTTCCAGGGTCTCCCCGGGATCCTTTATCACCAGTTGGTCCAATTTGTCCTGCAGGTCACAGAAAAGAATCATGATGACCACATCTGCCTAAAAGACAACCTTGCAGAAACACAGGCTGGTCTGACGTTGCTGGTGCACCACTGAAGAGCTGGTCAGACAGGTGGACATGCCTTCACTTCGTCTGCTCACCTTTTTCTCCTTGGTCTCCCTTCTGACCCTTCATGCTGCCCATGTCCACCTTATCCATGGACCCAGGCTTGCCAGGGAGACCCACATCTCCTTTGTCGCCCTTGAAGCCGGGGTCTCCCCTGGGCCCCGAGGAGCCCGGGAAGCCGTGGTCCCCTGCAAAGGGAAGAGAAGGCGCCTGGTGAGACGCAGAGGTGACAAGGCCTGGCCCTCCTTCTGGCGGGCAGAGCCGCCGATGAAGAAGGAAGGCAGCATCGCCAGGCAAGTGTCTGAGCTACTGGAAGGATCTGGGCCCTGAGTAAATGAACGGTAAAGCCCAGTTTTTAGAATTCATTATTTGCGAATAACTCAAACATGCATGTGACTCTGCTTATTATGAGTTTAAATAATTCACATCTCCCCTCTTTCCTAAGAAGCTTTATCTCACCTGTTCACAGTGCCTCTCAATTCTATACAAAATAAGAAAATGGGGAGTTTTCTTACTCTACTAAACAAAAGACTCTTTTTATGTCTCACAAAGTCCATTTCTTTAGAAACATATTTTGGGGCCAATTTCAAATAACCAGATAAGAAATAAAAATTAAGGCCTGTATATTTGCCCCTGTTGCTAACGTGATTCTAAGGACTCCGTGCCAGTGACCTTGCACGATGGGAGATCCCACTGGCTCTAAAAAGAGCAAACACCTCAACCGTGCAGGTGAAGGAGCATCTGGAAACCGGTCTTCTCTCTGATTGGGGCAGAGCACAGCCCCTGCCCCCACAGGCACGGGCATGGGCACAGGCACCGTGAGCTCCTACTGGAAGAGGGGTCTCCCCGACCCTTGCTTCACCTTCTTCTTTCCTCTGCCTCTTGGTAAGAAATAGCACCTTCAACCCTTCCAGAGTTCCCAACAGACACAGAGACACAGACACAAGACGGGCTCTTCTGGAGTGACCAGCCCCTACCTTTTTCTCCGGGCAATCCTGGCACTCCCGCTGGGCCTGGCGAGCCGGGCTGCCCCGGGGTCCCCATGACACCCATCTCTCCCTTGGGACCTGCAGCAGATGAGGGGCTGTGAATGCAGACCGAAGACGCGGGGAGTCGGGGACAGACAGGGGCAGGCGTTTACAAGCCGCTTACCTGGAATGCCGGGAAGGCCAGGCGTGCCCTGCTGTCCGGGAAGACCGGGGAGCCCAGACTGCCCTGTCAGGCCGGGCAGCCCTGGGGACCCTTTGTCTCCTTTGGGGCCCGGCATGTCGAGGCCTGGAAATCCTGGGAAGCCCTTCTCTCCCTTCAGTCCAGGAGGGCCTACAGCGGGTGGAGAGCAGGAGCGGTGAGCAGGGGGCTCCGCGGTGCACCCTTCTGTGTCCCGCCATCCCTTTCTGCAGGCGGCACGTGAGTGTGCGGTCCACCCTAGGGGGCTGGGAAACTCCCACTGTCTCGGGCAGCCGTGTCGGGAGCCACGGGGGAGCCACGGGGGAGCCACGGGGGAGCCACACGAGCACTGTCCCAGACCGAGCCCTCCCTCCTGCCAAGCCCCCTCCCCCTCCCCGGGCCCTCCCCAGTGTCCACACCCAAGACCAGCTGCTTTTCAGCTGTGTTCCCGGCTACACTCGTGGGCCCCCAGCACCTTCTCCCTTCTGGGACTAGTTACTGAAGACCAGGGCGGCTCCAGGACCAGTTAGTATACGTTACCCACAACTACCAACCCCCCACAGAAAGGTAAGGTGGAGACACCAGTCATTCTGAATTAAAGGAAAATGTCACTGAATACACATGAAGTGGGGCGGGGGGGGGGGGGTGCTCTCTGGCACGTAAACCAAGCTCAGGGAGAGGAAAAGAAAGATACCCACAAACTCTGGTTAAGGGGGCAATCAGACAAGTCTCCCCAAACAGAATCCCCCTCCCCCTTTATTCACTAGGGGGCTCTAGTCCCCACTTCACTCAGGCTCCCGAGCCGGCCCCTTCCCCTTGTGGAGCGGGATGTGGGGAAGGGATAATCACCTAAGGACCCTGGTGGTCCCTGTCCTCCAGGGGGGCCCATCGCTCCAGGTGGGCCTATCCCAGGAACTCCAGGGGCTCCCTTGGGACCTTGTAATCCAGGTGGTCCTGGGTCACCTGGATGGGAAGAAATTGTAAATGAACCGCACAGACACCATACGACCCACCCCCACAATCAGCCACAACAACACAGGACCGTAAGCGCTAACCGTCTGCGATTTTCATCACTTTCAACAAACGCAGAGAACCTAACAGGTGCCCCGTGGACACCAAACCAACAGGCCCAGCCTCCATCCACCACAGTCCGCATTTGTCTGGAAGAAGTTACCTCTGATTCCCTGGAGGCCTGGGGGGCCGATAACACCATGCTCTCCCGGAACGCCCGGTCCCCCGATGTTTCCCTTCTCCCCAGGTGTGCCAGGGATGCCGGGAAGACCAGGCAACCCTTTGAGTCCAGGCAGACCGATGCCAGGCTCTCCCTGGAAATTCCCAAAACACAGAGAAGCCGGTTCAGCAGGAGAGGACGGGATTCCATCCGGCCAACGGTGTAAGTGCAGACGGTCGGTAAGAAGCTGTCCAACCTCCAGCCTACGAAGCCTTCACGCACCCATCCCCCTTCCGATTTCAATACAAATCGGAGGTGGTTCGTTTTTATTACTGTTATTTTATGAAGGAAGAAAATGCCTTCCAGGTCACAGAGGGAGGATTCCCACCCGGGTCCCCGGCCCTCCGCTCGCTTTGTGTCTGTGAGGAGTGGAGTCCAAGTGATGGACAAAATGCCCAATGTGCTTTGTGAGCGGCTAATAGACAGCTTCCTATGAGGTGGCAACGTTCCAGGATAGGACCAGGACACCATTTATTGAGATTTTTGTCTCAGCGACGGCTTTCACCTCAAATTAAACACGGAAAGGATGTCATGAATCTAAGGGCTTTGATAAATGCAGATGATTGACGACGAAGGAAGTACTCTGAAGGCCCGAGGAACACTATGTCACCGGGCCCCCCTGTTGTCCACCGTGGCCACAACCTCCAGAGGAAGTAGCCACTGGAGGTTCTTCCACGCGTCCCAGCAGCAAATTCACAAAACAGAAGGAAGTGAATCCAAGGGACTTTTGAAGAAGCACAATACTTTAAATCATGAGCCAAATCCTTATCCCAATTCCATTTGCATTTACTAACTCATGAGCCTCACGTGTGCGAAGCGACCCGCGTGGCACCACCACGGACTAGTGTTTCACGAGTGCATCTAGTGCAGTTTATGAGGGGAAGCCGCGTCAGCCACACAGATGGAGTGGGACACTGTGAGATCAGGTGCGTTTGAAGAGAGCGCTCCCCTGGGGTCACTGAGACACAGCTGCCTCCGTCACCCGGTCCCCCACGGCCTCTGCCCACCCTCCTAACAGAAAAGGAACAGGCCAGGGGTGCCTGGGTGGCGCAGTCGGTTAAGCGTCCGACTTCAGCCAGGTCACGATCTCACGGTCCAGGAGTTCGAGCCCCGCGTCGGGCTCTGGGCTGATGGCTCAGAGCCTGGAGCCTGTTTCCGATTCTGTGTCTCCCTCTCTCTCTGCCCCTCCCCCGTTCATGCTCTGTCTCTCTCTGTCCCAAAAAAAATAAATAAAAACGTTGAAAAAAAAAAATTTTAGAAAAGGAACAGGCCAGGCCAGCTCTTTTGTTGGCAAGGTGAAATTGGTCAGCTATGCTCAATGAGCAGAATTTCAAGTATTAGCAAGTGGCAGAGGGATGTCTGAGGCCAGGAGAGTCCTTAAGTCCCTCGAGCCCAGGGGTCCCCAACCGGGGCCATGTTTTCCCCGGTGACATCTGATAATGTTCAGAGAGACAGTTCTGGTTGTCACAACTGGGGACGGATGTGGGGTGCTCCTTCAGTATCTGTGGGCAGCGGCAGAGGGGGAGGTGGCTAAAGAGCCCACGATGTCCAGGGCAGCCCCCGCCATGAAGAATTACTGGACCAGAATATCAGTAAAACTAGACCCTCCTGGGTTGCCATCGCGCCTTTCAGGACAGTGGCCTTCATGCGGCTTTGTCCTGTCGCTCACAATAAGACCCGCACTGTACGCTGAGATACAGTTCACACTCAGGCAAGAGCACACTCACAGAGCCAAAACGTACGGTTCTCCCCCAAACATCAACCGCCACACACAGTGTGCTTATTTTCTATTCCGCGCGCCACATTTTATGTGTCTGATGAACAGCAAGGACGGGGAAAGAGCAATCCGAGGAACGCTCAGTACCCACCTTTTGGCCGGGCACACCCGGGTTGCCAGGCAAGCCGTTAAATCCTGGGCGGCCTGGGCTCCCGGGAGGTCCCACGTCTCCAGGCAGGCCATCGACACCTGTTTTGAAGAGTCAACACTCACTACTGTCATAATGCTGGTCCCCACTTTCTTCACTGCCCTGACACTCTCTCAGACGCCCCTGAACTGGCTGGACTGGCCAACGAGGAGCCCTTCCAAGGAGCTTCTAAGAGGAGCCTGAGGCCACCCCAGCCACGGGGTGGGGCACCAGCCTGCACCAGCCAGAGCGGCTTGGTCGCCATGGACCGCAGGCCCGTGCCTGCCGCCTCTCCCCCACCCTCCCCTCCTCCTTTCCTCGCTAACCTCGGTTTCTCTGCCTGCCCCACCCCCCAAGGGCACAAGCAGCCTAGGGTGGCGTCTGGATCCGCTGTCCCCAGCGCAGCCAAGGTAGGGGCCGCCTTGCGGGAGAGGCCCACCCACACCTCCCAGAGCAGACGCGCGTTTCCGCGGGACTTCTGATTCCGGGACACGGTCCAGTTTGAGCAGCCCCGCTGGGGACCACTGCTTCTCAAGCCACTGGAGGCCACACCACCGGAGGCGCGTGGGGCATCAGAGGCTGTCTGGGTCCCAACCCTAGAGGGTCTGGTGGGCTAAGGGCTACCCCGGGGCTCTACTGTGCACAAAGTCTATCCCGCGGGATGCGGAGGGTCCCAACGCTCAGGGATTTGTAAGTGTGCGGAAGCAGGTGCTGTGGGGCAGTTGTAACTGGGGAGCTGGACACACGGTGCACCTAACTGCCCACCGGCATCCGCATCTCCAAACCACTTCGTGCGATTGGGCAGAGAGCCTCCGATTGGGAGACCTTACCACTAAATTCTGCCTGTCACGATGGTGAGATGGGGCTCACTGGGAACAGGGTTCATGGACAGGCGGAAGGTCGAGGCACTGTCCCTGTGACCTTGAGGGTGGCTGAGAGCCTCTGGCCTTCAAGCCTGACACAGGCCGCTGTGTGTGTGTGCGTGTGTGTGTGCACGCGTGTGCAAATGTGAGTACGTGTGCGTGCATATGTGTGCGCACGTGTGCATGCGAGTGTGTGTATATGTGTGGGTGGGTGTGCATGTATGTGCACATGTGAGTGTGCGTGTGTATATGTGTGGGCATGTGTGCGTGTGTGCATGCACGCACACGCGAGTGTGTGTATACATGTGGGTGGGTGTGCATGTGCACATGTGAGTGTGCGTGTGTGTATACATGTGGGCACGCATGCGCATGCATATGTGTGTACGTGCACATGAGAGAGTGTGTTCATGTGTGTGCACATGTGTGTGTACGTGTGCACATGTATGTGTACATGTTTGTGTGTGTGTATATGTGGGCACGTGTGCATGTGTGCGTGCATGCACATGCGAGTGTGTGTGTATACATGTGGGTGTGTGTGCATGTGCGCATGTGTGCATTGGCGTGTGTGCATGTGGGCACATGTGCGCATGCATGTGTGTACATGCACATGAGAGTGTGTGTTCGTGTGTGCACGAGTGTGTGCGTGCATGTATACATGTGGGCATGTGTGCGCATGTATCTGTGCGCGCATGTGCATGCGTGTGCATGTGTGACGCAGCTCCCAGACGAGTGTGAAGGCCTGTAACCCTGACAGTGGGTGTGATGCACGCAGGGCCTCTGGACAAGAAGCTGGGGGCCTGGAGAGCTCTTTCCATGAGGTTCTGCACGCATGGCCAGTAAAACAGGGGACAGGATGTCGGCCCAAATGGGAAAGAGGTGCCCCTCGCTGCTCACAGCGCCTGCTCAGTCCGCACCAAGGTGTATGATGGCAGGTGCCCCCACCAGGGCCTGCCTGCAGGGTTGACACACCCAGGACCTTGTCCTTCTCACCCCCTCACAGATTTCAGAAAGAAATGCTGCTTCTGAAATGCCAGCCCCGTGGGGATCCAGGCTCCATGCTGTGGGGGCCTCCTCCCATTCCCCAGCACCCTTCCCGGAGACCCAAACCCAGCCCGGCACAGTGCTGTTGCTCTGTGTACCTCTTGCACTGATGAGGAGAGCGCCCCCAATACCCCAAAGAGCTTCTGTCAGCTCCCCGGGCATCGGCTGGGCCCCTAAGGTCCCAGCCCCTCCTGACCAACACCCGCAGCGTGGAGGCAGCACGTCACCCAGTGCCCTGGTGGGTGGATTCACCGCCCTCCAGGCTTTGGCAATCTTCCCTTAATGGCACATCGCTACCTCAAGCAGTGTGTTTGTATCCCTCGCTTCTTTCTCTCCTAAAGTTTACGTGTAAACCAACAGAAAGACCACAGCCCTCGATGCCGACAGCTGGGCCTGTGTGGGCCATGAGTGGAGCTATGGGCCCACTCCGGGTGGGGCTTGTCCTCCGGGTTTACCTTTGGGGCCAGGAGGCCCTGGAAATCCGATTCCGGGCTGGCCAACAGCACCCTTCTCTCCCGGGAGGCCTGGCCTTCCCGGCGTTCCAGGAAAACCTCGGTCACCTGTTGTGAGCAAGACCAACCATCAGGGTGAGAAAAACGTGTCAATGTCCCAGCTGTATCTCCAGACAAACTAGGACACTAAATGTACCTTGGGGTCCTTGGAAACCCGGGGACCCCGGAAGTCCTTGTGCTCCGGGGGGACCAGGTAGGGGCACAACTTGTCCAGCTTCACCCTTGGGACCTGAGGAAAGAGCACAGACACTAAGTGAGAGCCACCATCCTGTCTTGAGTGAGGACTCTGGGTGACAGCCTGCATCCTGTCCCGAGCAAGGACAGTGAGAGCCCGCATCCTGTCCTGAGGGAGGACACAGTGACAGCCCGCATCCCGTCCTGAGCAAGGACAGAGAGAGCCTGCATCCCGTCCTGAGTGAGGACAGTGAGAGCCCGCATCCTGTCCTGAGCACACTTTGTACCTACAGAGAAGCCCCATGTGGATCCCTCCACTTCCTCTCTCTACTTTTCTAGAATCTTTCACAGCGAGCTCTTCCCGTTTTCCCCAAAATTTACATCCAGAAGAACCTAGATACCTGACACATGAATTCTCTAAGAGTCCAAAGTAAGGGTCACAAAACTAGAAAACGAGGTGAGATGACCATGGGTAATTTGTTGATTAGCCTGACTCAAAGCCAAAACACTTCACTGTTCAATTTATCAGACAAAGCCAATTCTAAGCTGCTTTGAAGCCGACCTCAGTTCTGCTTGTCTAGTGGTAAATGACCTCTAGGACATGCTAACTGGGCGATCCGGCATGATCTGGAACACTGCAGCCAGGCAGCTGTGAGCTGTGTGAGTGGTACAGGCACTGGTGCCTCAGAGATCCACTGGGGGTCAGGGCTCAGCTGCTCGGAAAGCACCACGGGGTCACCTCCAAGGACACCACATGGACTGCTCACACGCCCTATCGGAATTTAAGACATACAGGGCCTCCCAGGAACAGCCACCACATTCTTTAGCTAAAGACTCTGGGAAATGCCAGCCGACTGACTCCAACACATATCTGCCATCAGTCCCACTCTGGGAATAAGCCTTTAATGTCACCAGAGTAAACAGGGCTCTGGCAGATCAAAGAAGTCTGGGTTTCAACCCCAAAGCTGACCGGGTCTGGATGGAACCCTGCAGAATGTGGACAGCTGACCAACAGCGCCATCAACACCTCCTTCAGGAACCTTCCTTCCCTCACTGCCAGGACGCGTCTGTGGCTGCCCCAGATGGTTTCTCTGATGCTAGTTTCTGGCCACGAAGAGTCTGATTCCCTTTTACAACTCTGCAAGTTTCCAGACCCCGCAAGCTCAAAGAGCACTTGAGATGCTGACCGCGGAGTCAGGGGCTATGGCTACGGGGAAACGGATCAGACGTCCCTTTACCACGATTGGGGGGTCTTCCCAGGTCAAGATCTCTCTGCCCCCAAAGGAGTCACAAAAGAAACGTTTCTGGGATGTTTGCTACACAAAGAACAACTATCAAGGGAACCGTAGCCCGCTGCTAGGTACCCCACCACCACACGAGAATGACGGTAAGATACACGTTAGGCCACTTGCACTTCCAGCAAAGACAGGTTGACGTTTCCATGCTGGAGACCTTGTGCATCTTAACGCTATGACTTCAGGAAGTAATAGCTCCCGATGGGATAGGAACTGAGAGAACTTGGGCCGGATATATGGCTTGTGACAGAATCGGCAGAGTGGTGAGCGTGAGGGCCACACGGTCGTCCGCCCGCGTCAGTAGCTTCACTTTGTGTGTCTCAGCTGCCTGCAGTCAACCGGGGCCCCGGGACCAGGTGACGCAGCACAGAAGGTCTGCGCACACGCCTGCATCACTCACCCCTCGCCACGGGCATTTTGTCCTGTCCCGTCATCACAAGATGAGGGGTTGAGTACAGGACAAGGAGGTACATTGAGGGAGAAACACATTCACACAATGTTTAGAACGCTGTATGTTTCTAACTGTTCTATTTCACTATGAGGTACCATTGGTGATCTCTTACTGGGCCTGGGTTACAGGTGAAACTGGGCCACACGTCTGTGTGTACAGGAGAAACACAGCGTACGTGGGGTTTCAGGCATCCACGGGGGTCCTGGGGAGGGGGCGCCCGTTGTGAAATCTCTCCTGCCTAGTTCTTGTTTTGGTCCATTTGACTATCCAGTAACTATGTTGTTCAAGGTTGACTAGTCACACAATTTGAACCATCTGAAGTCCTTTTGTTCATCTTTACAACTTTCGTGAGGTTTCTTAGTCACACCCTCCTCCTTCTCTCCCCTGTGCCCAAGCCATCCCTGGCCTCTCCTCTTCTTAGTCCAGGATTTTCTAGGGAATGACGGGAGTATGCCGTCTCTACGCTCAATCACGTTCTACTAGGCACTCCCGGGAGCCCGGGGTGTGCAAGGCCTGAGCCACCCCTTCTCCCCATTCGTCCCTGGGAACACGTGGGGCGTGAGGATGGGGGGTGAACACCCGTGGGAAACCCTCACATCGGCCTCACTCCGTGCATGCTGCCAAGCCCCGGACACTGAGCTCCGGAAGGGTAGGGTCACGCCTGTCCGTCTACCACACTCTCTCCGCTCAGTGCAGCGCTCACACAGAAAATACGTAGGGAAGCAGGCTCACATTGACATCACTTCCACACAAAAGGCCAACTTCAACTGGAAGGCACCATGTACTTATTGTAGGAAAAATCACCCGCGAAGTCAAATTCTTTACAGTCAGATTCTGCACGTCACCCAGCCTGGCCCATCTTCTACGTGACGGTACGGCCATGTGACAGAAGGGCCCGGGCTACGTCCACCTCCTGGAAGAACCGACACCCAACTCCCGAGCCCCGTGCTCTGTGCGACCTCGGACCTCACCTGGCTGGCCTGGGGGTCCAGGGTTCCCTGGAAAACCCACTTGTCCTTTGTCACCAACGGGGCCGATGGGGCCAAACCCTGGAGGCCCAGGAGGGCCGATGTCGCCACGACTGCCAGGGAATCCAACTCCTCCAGGGGGGCCACGCTCTCCTTTCAACCCTACTGAACCCTGACCGGCAGAGAGAAAAACACACGCTATCAGCAGACATCCCGATACACGTTCATGTCACATTTTCCACCGTCTTTGGTAAATAAGTACCAGGGGTTAGCTGGCTCCTGCTATTTATTTACTCCCACCCTCCGACAAGGGTCATCTGGCAGTTAATAAATGACCCTGGCTTTCTTGTCCAGGCTGGGCACTCACCCTCCCGCCCCACGCAAGGATACATTTCAAAGACTGAAGTATTTGTATCTGGAACTGACCTTTCAAGGATGTCTCGCACCCTGCTAACTTGAAACGCCACCTCCCACCTGACACCCGGAATCCGACACACAGACGTCTCTCTGGCGGCCCGAAACACGTCAGGAGACGCCTATGCATGGTCACCCTTCCGCCCCAGCCAACAGCATCAACGCCGACGTTCACACCCGTCAGTTTCTGCATGAGCCGCTGAATTAGTTCATGGGTAACAACGACCCATCCAAACAAAAATACGTAGACATGATTCAACTAACTCATTCCTGCGTTCTCTGCAGACCTGCTTCTAACGTGCGTTTCCCAAGGCTGGAGATGAACATACCGGGGAGCCTTTGGGGCCGGGCAGACCCGGGTGGCCGTCTCTCCCCGGAGTGCCTGCTCTGCCCGGCATCCCGGGCTGGCCTGGAAAGCCCGGGTCCCCTTTGTCTCCTTTGAGCCGTGCGTCGAAGTAAATCTCGCCAGGCTCTCCCTTGGCTCCGGGCTGGCCCATCAGCCCTGGCACACCTTGTGGTCCCTGCAAGCACAAAGCAAAGGCGTCTGTCCACAGAGTGACCCAGCACGAGCGGGGTTCAGTCCACAGTGATATCAAGAAGCCACCTCCCCGAAAAATGGTCAACTATTTCAGCTCCTTCATTCCGCAGCAGCCAACAGCTCTGTGACAAAGCCCTGATCTGACCTCGCTTCTTGTGCTCCTCTTGAAAACACCTGGCAAAAACTCTGTACTAAGTATCCCGCACAGACACTAGGTTAGGGCGGGGGAGGGGGGAGTGGTGCCCACGTTGTAGGGCAGGCCCCAGATAACCTGCCTGTGCTTACAACTGTTGATGTTCACACGAACATTCTAGTGACTGTCGGAAACCTGCTGAGTGCAGGGCGTCCTAGGCCCAGGAACTGGAGGAGGGCTTCTGGGTGCAGACAGGACAGACAACAAGGAGAGCAAAGTCTGGGTGTGAGCACGGGCCAGTTCCATCACTGTCATTGTGAGCAGTCAGCAGAACAGAAGGGACTTTCCCAAGAGACACAGCCTAGCACATTCCCCGGTTCCTGGAAAGCTAAATCAAGGAACGCCCACACCCACAGATGGTCTTTCCTCTGGCCACTCTGAGAACCGGGGCTCACAAGGTTTCAAATCATCATCTCAAGTGTTTGTTCCCTCAGGCCTGAGAAAGAAAGCCCTTCAGCCTCCCTGCCCAACTTGGCGGAATTTAGACTCTGGGGACAATTCATTTCACTTGAATTCCTTCTCACCACTCCCTCGGAAATGGCTCTTGGATGTATGCAAATCACACGCACACAGAAAGAAAGGGGCCGGGACCTAAATTCATACAATCTCTAGGTTTTAAAGTGGGTACCATCGATCGTGCGCCCACCATGGGTCACGGCCCTCGGCACGTCACTCCCGACTCTTCACCCAACTGCGCAGGGCAGAGACTGAAAGCACATAGCAGGTGAGGGACGAACACGCAGAGCACTTTGGCAGGGGGGTGTGGAAAACTCATTATTTACTTAAAAGGGGTTGTGGTATTTTGGAGCACTTTCCCCCCAGGGAACATTAGCTCCTGTGGATCCTTAAGTCCCAGCTACACCGAGACTCCTCTGTGGAGCCCTTCCTGACGAGTGTCCTGTGTTTCCATGGCACAGGGCTCGGTCCTCATTACAGAAAACTGCTCTGCTTTGTTAAGAACGCGTGTCTGCACACCTTTCTCTCCCATCCGTCTTACAGGGCATGGAGGGCAGGCATAAGGCTAACTTCATGTCCTGAATGTCTGCAGCTAGGGGGGGATTGGAGGAAGGGGGAGATGACCTAGCGATATTCACCAGTAAAAAATGAACACCAGTGTAAGAAATCACCACCGGTGTAGATTTTTCTCAACCTGGAAAGATCAGTGTTCCTTTACGGTGAAGATTCACAGCCTAGGAATACAGTTTTCTGTAAGCACAGGGCGAGGAAATATAATTCTTTATCTTCATAATGGTGACCTCGCCAGCTATCCTTCAAGGAAGAAATCTTGATTCTTTTTTGAAAGGTGACATTTTGATCTGAGGACACCTCATGTGGTTTCCCTGCCCCGGAACATCTCAATCCTAGGCGATTCAAAGGTCTTTGGATCCACATCTCTTGAGAGAAGTGATGAGGAATCAAACACTGCCTTGAAAACTTGGCGTTGGCTCCGTAAATTAGAGAAGATCCAGCAGCTACACAGGCTGCTTCTAAAGAGCACAACTCCTTTCAAGAGACCGTCCCGATGACCGCGAAAGCCGCTCAGGTCCCCATCAGGAGCCAGCCTGTCCCTCGGTCCCCAAATCAAACACTCGGCTTGCAAAAGGACATGTCACAGAAATGCTACCTAAATCAAATAGGAAGCCAGAGCATTTCATCTCTTGTCATTATCACCTGCTTGCCGGGATGCTCTGCTGGTTCCTGGGCACCTCCACCAGCCCCCAGACACATTTGAAATAAGAGGACCCCATCTGTGAGCCAGGTAAGCCATGGAGTCACGGGACGGCTTCAAATCAAAGGAAAATTACTACCTTCTCGATTAAACTATTTACCCATAAAACAATTTTTAGAAACCTCTGGCATCTGCAGAAAGAAAGGAGCTCGGAGTTCCCAATGGGGAAGGCGTGGGGATTAGAAGTTCCGTCGTACATTCTCTTTATTTTCTTCTTCATGAGGACTTGTCCTCAAACTGTCCTTCTCCCTTCTTCCTCTTGTCCTGTTTTTGTTAGATTGGGGGCTGGGGGGCTGGTGTCTGCATGGGGTTTCAGGCAGAGTCAAGGCAGGAAGTTTCCAGGAAGGCCAAGGAGATAAGGACCGTGTCCAGAGGTTAAAAGCATCCTCTTCTGCTTCTTCAAAGCTCTTCTGTCTTTGATCCCCACCAGAGCCATGGCTTCCCAGTTATGGGAACTTCTAATTTATTTAGAAATATTTTAAACAGTTGCAACTTCTAACTCAGCTCCCCAGGCACCAGGGACGTTCTGGAAGCAGAATCCCAAGATCTAACTTCAAAAGGAGAAAACGCATCGCTCAATCCCAGCTGCTTCATGGCTATGTCAACGCCCACTTCTGTCCTGACCTGCTATCATAAAAGCTGCCGGCGACATCCTTAAAGATTGCAAAGTTAAAGAGCTACCTCAAAGAAGGATAACGCTGAAGATTTGACTTTGACAGAAGAAGAAAGAGAGGAAAAATGGAAAAAAAGTCATGAAAGGAAGTGGAGAAACTCATTAATGCTTGCAAAGCTTAGAGGAACAAAGAAAATACGAGAACGAGGCCTTCAGGTTTAAACGCTTTAGAGACAGAGCGGACCACGTGCACCAAAAGCGCCCTTCAGTGTCTGAGATGATGACCGCTCCCTTCAATGGCTTCTTTTTAAACAAATGAGAAAAGTTTAGGAGCTGATTTTCATTTAACTGAAAGACTGCACATCGACGTGAGAGAGGCATCTCATTTTCAGATGCGGGAAAGCACCCCCGCGGTAGATACAGGTGACAGGAATTTTCCAAACAACACCTCTGTGAGACGAAGAATGAAAATGTTCCAAACTCCTCGAAGGAAACAGGCCAGTGCTCGTCTCTCCACGGAAACTGCCCGTGCTGAACTTACGGCGCGTTTTTAAGTTACTGCTGTGACGGGCAATGCTCACGCAGAAGGTCGGCGGCCGACCTCAGGAGCGCGGCTGCTTGGAGGGGCCCCTGCGGTACCCTGGGTCTCGAGAGCCCCCAGAGACCCTGTGGGGAGGTGACACACAGCAGCCGCTGCCCCTGGACACAGGGACGTGGCAACTGAATTCTGGCCAGGTGAGGAGAGAGGCAGTTGAGATGTGGATTCTGGCCTGGACAGTCCTGCTCACCCTTGGGTGGACATGTGGAGTGATTCTAGACTGTTCTAGACTGTTCTAGACAGCCACACTGGGCCAGCACCCCAATAACACTGCAGAAACCATGCTCACAAATGCAGCAGCATACACCTTTGTTAGCTGGCTCGGCAGCTACTTCTACTAAGTATTCCAACCAGACGGCTTTACTTACAGGCAGTCCTTCCAGGCCATCTCTGCCGGGTAAGCCTCTGTCGCCCTTGGCCCCTGGCTGTCCCGGGAAACCTTTAGAAAGACAAGGGAGGTAGGACATATCGTGGATGAGATACATCCTAATAACCCCACACCTTTCCTTTTCAAGATTCAAGAGTACAGGGGCGCCTAGGGGGGCTCAGTCAGTTCAGCGTCCAACTTCGGCTCAGGTCGTGATCTCACGGCTTGGGGGTTCGAGCCCCATGTCGGGCTCTGTGCTGACAGCTCGGAGCCTGGAGCCTGCTTCGGATTCTGTGTCTCCCTCTCTGCCCCTCCCCGGCTCATGTTGTTTCTCTCTCAAAAATAAGTAAACATTGAAAAAAGTCAAAAAGTAATAAAAAAAGAATCAAGAGCATAGAGGGACCTTCATAGAACCAGATGGTGTTTGAAGACTCCCAATGCAGTAGTAACGAACATGCCCAAGGTGGACTCGGGAAGGGGAAAAGCGACCCCAGATGTGGACAAGAGCCACTGAAGCAGCTGGTGACAAGTGCCCCCACCCACACGCCAGGAACCGTTTTAACCCGAAACCTTCTGTTCATTTCGTTCAAGAGGACTCAATTTGTGGAGCTAAGGGAACTGTATGCTATCGCCCTTTTGTTGGAAGGTCTCTCTGGTGCCAAACTGTGGGTCATCCGGACGACCTTCAACAAAGTAGGCAAATCCTGGAAGTGGGACCGAAAGTTTTCTGTTTTATGCATTAGTTTTAAATGCAGAGATGTGGTCTCTCACAGCATAAGATTTGTTTCAGTGTGATTTCCAACCCGCAGAAGCAAACTCTGGCCTGGTCCCGCTCACGTCCGGGGTCTCACCTATTTCTCCTGGGGGTCCCTGTGGTCCAGGGGGCCCACGAAGTCCTGCTGTGTCACAGATGAGGCAACTGTCTCCTTTCTGACCTGCAAAGGGAACACAGAGGTCCTCACATGCACGTGAGAATTCAAGTGTCCGCAGCACGGTGGCAGAACAGAAAATGGAGCCACCGTTAATGGCGTCCTGCTTCGGTGCAGTGTCCTTGGTCATCCAACACCCACCCCAGACACCTCTGCTGTGCTAACCGGTGGCGTGTGCCCGTCCCGGGGCCCGCCCGCCACCCTCCGCACACTTCACAGGCCACTGCCAGGGCGCCGGGACCCTCTGCCCTGCACGAGGACGGGCGCTGCCTCGCCAAAAGGTGATCTGGAAACGAAGCTTGCTCACAGCCTGGAAAGATCTGGCTGCTCTAGTTTTGTTTCCGTCTTGAAAACTTCCCATCACCTTTCTCTCTGATGTCGCATTTTTTAGCGAACTCCACACCGGTAACTCCTGGACGTTAAACCTGGTTACAGGCTGATGGGTGACCAATGGGAATGAAAAGCCAGGAAAACGGGAACACATACGTGACCCGATACTGAGGACGGAAAGGGAGAGAGACTGCAGCACAGACAAAAAGGGAGAAAATGCCTCGGGTTTTTTTTTTTGGAAATTCTAACATCTTAGGTCTTGATTTTCAAACTAAGCCACAAGGCCATATGGTGTCTCAGATAAACCCGTGTCCTAAACCTTAAAATGCCTGGCTTCTAGGGACTCATCAGGGCACGGCACAAGGAGAAGCCCCTACTACTGGGCAGTGACAGGCTGGCCCGCGTGCCCTGGCCTGGCCCGGACTGGCGCACCACAGCCCCGGCACTGCTAAGCCTGCTCCCCTCTGGCAGAACCTGCTGCTGGGAACAGCGATGGGACCAACGCAGACAGCCCGTGTCCCTGCTGTGTGGGCAAGGACAAACAGGAGCCCATCTGTGGGACAGGGACAGCACAAGTCAGCTGGCAGCCAGCTAAGTTCTGGGCCCCACGGGATGCACACGTGGTGGTTCTACAGCAAGAGTGCGGAGGTCTCAGGACAAAGAAGCTTCTGACTCTGTGTCGTAAGGAGGGACGTCCCACCTCAGGAAGTACCAACCATCTGGTAACGAGAGACATTCGTTACAAACCAAGTATGCGTTGGTTTTTAATGACACCGAAGGCTTGGTGGCCCTCCGTGATGACTGCTAAGACCACTTCCACCTGTGAGGTTTATGTGGCTGCCCAAATGAGATGTTAGCTGCAACTGTTTTCCACGCAGCATTTGTGCCATTGACTTTGGAAGAGGAAGAAATCTGCAGAGGAAGGCCACCAATGGTGCCCAGTGGGGTTAGCTTTGGGGACAGTCTCCCGGTGGCTCTAGTCTCTGGTTATTGAGACACTCATCAAGAGTGGACCGTCCAAGGGGCACGGCACTCTCAGATGGCACCGCTGGTGCCATGAGAATCCACTGTCGGCACGAGTGTGCAGAGAGGCTGTTGTGTGCTGGGTTGGTGTTACGGCAGGCACTGGGAGATGGTGACCTTAACACTGAGAGCCGAGGGCGTGGGCGGCCACCCCAGGCCGGTGGGTTCGCTCACACCAATTACAGGAACAGGGCTCAGAGGACTAGGGAGTGTTCTGGACACACATCTGTGACTCACTTGAAAGAAAGCCATTCGTTCTCTGAGAATGGATCTTCCAGACTTTGACCCAAAAGATTGAGCTAAGATATCAGTCTTAGGGTTTAATCTGCTGGCCGTTAGAGGGTAGAGCGGTTACGTGTCAGGACCGGGGCTCCCTGTTGCCTCCCAGCTGATAGCTCTCTGTCTGTCTCTCTGGTCTGTTTCTCTCTCTGTGTCTATGTCTCTGTCTCTCTCTCATCTCTCTCTGTCTCTCTCTCTCTCTTTCCTGGAAACCCAACAACGGGACATCCCGACAGAGCTATAGGGAGACACATCCTAGGAACAGACTTGGACGGGAGTTCTGAGTAAGGGAAGAGCACGCTCACGCTCCCTGTATGCAGAAATAGGTCACATCCGCCAGCACAATCATCATTTTTTTTAAACATCGGCATCTCTTACCTTTTTCTCCGACTTCGCCCGTCAGCCCTGGTTGCCCCGGACTTCCGGGGGCACCTCGGTCCCCTGGCGGTCCAGGCTGGCACTCCACAATTCCATCTGGAATGGATTTTCAAAGTTACAGGACCCTTCCCACCAGACGGAAACCAGGTATCGACACCCCCTCTTCACCCCACCCCTACTGAGATACCAAAGTACATCAGGCTATTTGGTTCGTGCCGGAAATTCAGCTTCAGCTTGCCTTAAAGTGACCCTGGGAAGTTAATTTGAACACAGGCCCACACAGCACCCATCCGACCTCTCGACACCATCACTGCTAAAACATCGATTTTACGATCCTAAAGCACCTCTCAGTTCATCAGCCCTGTCCTGTACCTTCCTTCATTTTCACCTTGTAAGGTACACACCTGGGTCCTTATTCTACAGATTAAAAAACTAGCCCAGAAAAGCGAGGCCGTACATCTGAGAACTGAAAGCCGAGACTTGAAGAACTTTATTATTTTTTCTTTTCCTCAGCAAATTTACAGAAGTCATCATTGTTTCAGAGATGCAGGCTGTCCATGGGGACACGCTTCTAACCAATTCTGAGCACCACGCACGTAAAGAGGCATGAAAACAAACTGCACTCGTGGAAACACCATCTGTCGGGGGTTCTGCTAGAAAAAGCACTGCTTCGTAGCTCAGACACGCGGTGATAGAGTTCACGTCTCCTGGGCCAGTATCTTGGAAGAAGAACGACAGAGCCAACAATTCACCCCAGGGCTCCCCTTGGGCGCTCGGGTCCTCACTGCAGACTGGAGCCTGGTGAGCGGGCTGCGTCCGAGCAGGAGGGGAAAGGGCCAGCAGAGAGGCCGTGCCCCTCACCTGATGCCCCGTCCCCACACCCTGACTTGGACGAAGCAGCCAGAATCACCTTCCTGCCCCCCAGCCCGGCTCTCTCCGGGGCACAAGGCACCAGATGGGCAACGGTGGATTTGCTCCGGGACAAGGCAACGGGACAGAGGGCCCGAACCTTCCTGCTTGAGGACTTCCTTCAGAGCTCAGAAGAGACCGGTCGTTTCAAGTGTGTGCAAACTCCAGTCCAAGGGAGACAGAGAGAGTTCTTGCTTTGTCTGTGGGTTCGGGGTTTATGTCTTCCCGGGGGGTTCCTGGAGGTACAGCGCCGGCGGTAAGGAGCCCTGAGGTGGCGATCGCTCTGTCCCAGGGTCCGCCCACGGCTGCTGGGCCCTTCCTGCTCTTGAACAAAGTCTTGTCATTTTTATGCTTCCAAGAGCAGCCCCTACACTATCTGACCTTGAGGAGCCAGCACTGCCAGGCTGTGTGAGCACCGGGGAGTATGAGCTCCCTGATCCTACAACTGCAGGCACATGGACACGGGCAGACATTCAATCACTCACTTCTTTCCTTTTCCAGAATGTATCTCCAGCCAGCCTCATCTGAGGCAGAATCCCACACACCCATAAGAAAGCAACTTTACATCCTTGTGAAAATCAATTTAAAATAACTTGAAGATGGGGCGCCTGGGTTGGCTCAGTCCATTAAGCATCTGACTTCGGCGCAGGTTGTGATCTCGCGGTTCATGGGTTCGAGCCCCACATCGGGCTCTGTGCTGACAGCTTGGAGCCTGGACCCTGCTTTGGATTCTGTGTCTCCCTCTCTCTCTGCCCCTACCCCGCTCATGCTCCATCTCTCTCAACTACAAACACTAAAAAAAAATTTTTTTTAATAACCTTAAGTCCAAAGCAAGAACATGGTGGTGATTTCTGAGCGGTTCTAAGACGCAAGTCCAGACCGGGCTCCTACTGCTCGGTGGGCACAGGTGAGCACAGGGCGGGGCGGTGCAGAGGCCTCTGCCTTGTGCTGAGGAGCTACTGACAGGCCCCCAGGGGGCAATTCATCTTAAGACGTCGCCTCTTTAACATACATTGTGCAACTGAACAAAAATCTCATTTATAGGTGAATCACTTAAGGGGCGCCTGTGTGGCTCAGTCGGTGAAGCGCCCAACTTCGGCGCAGGTCATGATCTCATGGTTCGTGGGTTCGAGCCTCATGATGGGCTCTGTGCTGACAGCTCGGAGACTGGAGCTGCTTCGGATTCTGTCTCTCTCTCTCTCTCTCTGCCCCTCCCCACTCACGCTCTGTCTCACTCTCTCAAAAATAAAATAAGTGTTAAAAAAAAACCCCAAAGTTATGCAGATGAATTACTTAATTAACATAAACAAAATGGGACAACATGGCACGGGGATGGCAGATGTCACACTGCACTCAGCTGACGCATCCTCCTCAACTAACAGCAGTGGGAAGGTCATGTTTTTACATGAGATTTGTTCTTATTTTGGTACTGAAAAAAAATTACACGTATCAAAAAAAGTTCTCCCAGATTTCCCCACGGTTGCATGCCTCATCCCCTTCAATCTTTGCCTCTCACTCCACTTAAATTAGACCCATGACCCGAAGCACCCTCACCCAGAACTTGGCGGTCCCTTCGCTGCTCGTGTTTAGCCCGCACCTGTCACTCCTGTAGACCACATAATTCACTTGGCTTCCACTCCCCCACGGGATGCACGCCCAGGAGGGCAGGACTGTGACAGTGCCTGGGGTACCTGTTGAGTAAACCTGTGACCCCGAAGGCCCCTTGGCCACTCACAACGCTCTCAGACACATGGAGAGAAAGTGACTCGGGGCTGAATGTCATAGGACTTCACTATCATCTTCATTCTCCACCTTTCCCAGATCCGTGGGAAAAAGGGGGGGCATCCCTGTGAAGTCACAGACCCACCCGCGCCCTGGGCACCTTGACAAAGAAAATTCATGCTGATCTTTTCCCAGTAAAGCTTCACACCTGGAATCAACTGTTCCCTCCAGTTCCTATCTGGCCTCCGTATGGAGCCTCGCCCACGAGAACTCCCTTTCTTAAAGACGTGTTTGAATTCTGGCAAATAAGCCGCCTGGTACTTGCAGCCGTGGCCCCCCACTTGCATCAGCCCCACAGAAGACCAGGGTCTCCAGTGCTCGAGGTGCACGTGCTGCTTATGAGAATCTCACATGTTCCCGCTGGAGTTAACTCCTCTGAAGTCTTACATTCTGCGTTGGTGTCACTCTGGGGCCCCAGGACCCCGTTCACTGAATCAAGAGTTTAACATCCCGTGCTCAGCTCTGACAGTGAGCTGATGCGGGAAACATCCACACAAAGTACCGTTCGACTTAGAAGTCGTGCGTTCCATCCCCTGCAGACCCCTCTTTGTTCGCGCGCGCGTGTCTTAGTGCTAATCTGTGTCTCTGGATAAACAGGAATGCGTCCCGTTTTCAGCTGCCTTGCCTTTTCATTTCGATGCCCAGAGCCTCAGAACTGGCTGGTATGTTTCTCATTCCTCTGACCAGGGTTACTGTTTTATAGTTCCATCCCGTAGCATGACTAGCATTGCAAAGATGCTAAGTGGGACACAAATCACTCACAAAGCCTGGGACGCCCGGCCTTCTGTATCCCACTAGAACCCTGGAGCGCCACCCCCCCTCCCCGCAACACCCAGGCAGCTCTGCCCGGCACCCGTCCCACACCAGACACACGCGAACTGTCCTGGAAAGAACTTACTTGTGTGACCCGGCTGTCCAGGGGGCCCAGGAGGCCCAGGGGGACCCGGGAGCCCGTCCCTTCCACTTGGTCCCGGCAAAGATGTGCCTGGAAACCCTTGGTCACCTTTCTGCCCTCTTTCACCGGGAAAGCCAGGAGCACCTGCCAGCTCTGGTACTGGGAAGCCTGAAACCAGAGCAAAATGTCACCATCATCGTGTGAACTCAGCGTCTGCCACACAAATTTTCCTAACTCCGTTCAGGGTTAAATAAGGTGTGCCCATCACCAAGAGGGGAACTGCTCTAGGTAAGTAAAAACGAGCTAAATTTTCAGGCCTCCCACCACATGAAGGTTGCCAGGCAAATGCCTCCTACAAGTTAGCTTTAAGGAAAAGGACTTAGCACACAGACGCGAAAAACCTGTGAGTTTCTCTTGGTGCAAATAGTATTCCCACTGCATGAATGAAAAGGCTGTTGGGGCTCAATTCTATTTCCACGTAGAGGATAAGGCATAAAAATGTCACCGAACAAAAGCAGAAGTGGGACAGGAGGCCTAGGGGATGGGAACTGCATTGGCAATCTACACGGAACAGCCAAAAAGTTAAGACAAATAAGGTGGTCTGGTGGAGCCTGAGGTCAGGCGTGAACGTGAAAGCCGAGTTCGGCTGCTGTAAATGTTACAGGACAAGATGACAGGGCCCCTGGGATGCGCACCAAGAAGAGCCGGCAGAACACCGGCTCGGGGGCTGCTCTACCTTGGCCTCGAGGTGGGGGACTGACAGCCAAGGGCAGAGGCAGGACTGTCACACAGCTTTGAACCAAGAGCAGAGCAGCGCAGACACGAGGGATACGAGGGATGACAGGTCCCAGGAGCGGAACTGCAGCCATCCATGACAAACCCACTCTTCAGTGCAGCAAGAACCGAAGGCGGTCCCTGGGGCTTGGGCTGCAGACCCAGGAGGGGACCCCGCGGCCTGGGGGGCGGGGCGCTGGGCCCGCAGCCAGGCTCCAACCAGGGGAGAGCAGATGAGGCCAGAGCAGTTTCAAAGACCTTTCCCAACACCGTCAGTTAGGAGACAGTCGGGCAGATGAATGGTTTTGGAAAGTAAATGTGGTGAATGCCAGGGGAGACAGGAAGTGACGGGCTCACGAGGAAACAGAAGCCCCAGCATGGTTCCTAAGCACAAGGAAGAAAGTGGGTGGAAACAGAATGGGGTGATTTTAGAGGCCGACCCAAAAACTCTGCTGGAAAGCAGGAAAGTGGGCAGAGAAGGCCCTGCCTGAGAATGGCTGAAGCAAATCCTCAATGCAGGACGGACTTGGGGTACAGTCTGTTCCAGAGACAAGGAAGGAGCTTGGGGGAAATTACAGCCAAAGCGCTGTCAGAAAGGGGAAAGCAAAATATAAGCAAAAGAGAATAAAACACAAAAATAAATAAAAAACAAAACCAAAGATGTAAGGATTCTAGGCGCTTGGCTGTGGTATCGATTCTAGGGCACATGTGGGTTTCCCTCGCAGCCTGTATGACCCACTCCAGGGACTGGGAGAGCACGTACACACACATGTGCACAGACATGCACACACTCCCATGTGCACATGCACACATGCACACACGCTCACATGCACCCACTCACACGCATACACACATGCTCATGTGCACACACACGCACACATACATGCTCATGTGCACACATGCTCACGTGCATACAAACATGCTCACGAGCACACACACACATACATGCTCACGAGCACACGCACACATGCTCACACACATGCTCACATGCACACACGCTCACATGCACTCACACTCACATGCATACACACATGCTCACATGCACACACACATGTTCACATGCACACACACGCTCATATGCATACACATACATGCTCATATGCACACACATGTACATGTTGACATGCACACACACACACAGGATCCAACACTAGCTAAGCAGCAGGTGTGATGCAATCACACACCAAGTTCAAGCAAGAGCTGTGGGATTCCACAGAGAAGAGGTGCTCAGATCAGTAAGGGAGACTTCAGCCCTGATTCTAGTCCCAAGGGAGAAACAAAGTCACCCCACAGACAGGGACTGTGGGAACCGATGCTGAAGGGTCTGCCAGACACTGCAGACCTGCATCTGGGGTGGGGGGGCAATGAGGCTGGGGGGCGTGAAGGGGCCTGCC